TCACACAAGTAACATTTCATGATGGGTAAAAGCAAAGAGCTCTCTCGAGACCTTCACAACCTTATTGTTGCAAAACATACTGATGGCATTGGTTACAGAAGGATTTCTATACTTCTGAATGTTCCAGTGAGCACTGTTGGGGCCATAATCCGGAAGTGGAAAGAACATAATTTCACCATAAACCGGCCATGACCAGGTGCTCCTCGCAAGATTTCTGACAGAGCAGTGAAAAAAAATGATCAGAAGAATTTTCTAAGAGCCAAGGACCACTTCAGAGATCTTCAGAAAGACCTGGAATTAGCAGATACTCGGGCGAGGGCTCCCTCTGCTGGCCTGGCATTACAATAATTTATTTGAAGCTGCGGATTCGGGTGACGTTTTAGCTCATCCGCGCATCACTAGTGTGTACTATGTGTATATTCATATTTATACATAAATACACACACACACATACACGTACACACACATATGTGTGTGTGTGTGTGTAATGATATATATATGTATATGTGTGTAATGATACATTTATGTATATTTATAAATTATTTTTATTTATCTATTTTTGTTTGTTTGTACAAACAATATTTTTAACCCTTTTGAGAAAAATTTATGAAAAAATTACTGTAACCATGCCTGAAAAAAAGTGAATGGGCAGTTATAAGCATATACTTTAACACACAATCATAATAATTAAAAAAAAAAAATACACTAAGCTATTTCTATCCACATGTTGCAGTTTTTAATTACTTATAAGGATACTTAAGAATTATAAATAAGTATAAAATTTCTCTTGTCCCCATCTTGAACTTGTATTTTTTATTTATTTTATTTTATTTTTGCTGGGATCATCGCAATGCAATGACCTGATGAGATGAGATGAGATGTGACGCAGGCTGCGTCCGAAAGCCTAGGCAGCTGACTTGCTGCCTCGCTGCCTCATGAGGCAATGACTTTGCAGGCCGTGTTTTTGCATGAAGGCACCTCATGAAACTGATTTTGGACAGGCTTCTGAGGCAGCGTAACGGTTTAATGATCTACAACAAAATGGAACGAGTTTTGATGATAACGAAACAAATATTTAATTATTATAATACTGATTTCTCGCTAGAAATAGCATCAAAAGTGCAAAAAGTTAGTCAGAAACATACATCTTTATTTTTTTAGCTCAACCGTCATGGAATGGAACACACAGGATTGTGGGATATCAAAGACAGCGAAGGATACATCTATGCTGCCTTCAAAATTCGATCAGAAGAAGGTACCTCCGGAGACAGGAAGTGAAGCAGAATTTGTATTCGGACGTGCCTTCATGCCTTCATGCCTTGAAATGCTGCCTCAGAAGTAGGGCTGTGCAATATATCGAAATTATCGAAATATCGCAAATGTATCGCAATAAATATGCATATCGTTATAGCTTGCAATATTTGGGGCCATGAACAAAAGACAAAGAGAAAATCACTCACTGCTCTTACCTAAATAAATTTTGTAGCTTAAATAAGAGTCAGTGCTGTTCACAGAACTGACTCAGCAACAGCTGAGTGAAACTGTTTAATCTGAGCATGTGGCACTTTAAGCATTATCGTATCGCATATCGAATATCGCATTATTTAATGAGTTATCGCATATCGCATTTTTCTTCAATATCGCACAGCCCTACTCTGAAGGCAGCATTTTAGAGCTTTCGGACGCAGCGGCAATGTGATGACCTGAAGGGTGAATGTGAAATTGAGATTGAGAAGGAAACATGGTATTTTAGGAGGTTCCTCCATAGGCAGCTCACCAGTTTTGGGTCTGATATTTTTTGTAAGCTGTATTCATTTGACACATTGCTTTTTCCATACTATATAGTAGGGAAGTAGGTATATTCGAATGCAGAGTAGGTTCTCAAACAGCAGTGTTGTCAAATGCTTAATGCAGGATTTAGAGAATGTCGGAAGACAGATGCTCTGAGAATGCCTAACAATATGTGCCTGTAACACTGGACTCTGTCGTGGCTGTCCTGACTTCATTCAAGAAATATAGATGACTTGATTTGCTGTCATCCTGATTATTGTGATTGTGTAACCTCATAAATTTTCCCTGTAAGACAGCATTTTGTATATAAGCTGTCCATATGGTTGGTAGGATCCATGATCCATTATAAAAAAGTAATCCCACAATGTATTTGTCAATACAGATGCATAATCCATGAGTTCTCACTGGAATTTTTGCATCGCATTCTTGTCCATGCATGCAAATGGACAAGTTCCCGTCACTGGTGTGGTAATATATGTGCATAATGATGGCCGGTCCACTTTCATCTCAGCACATGAAGCCCAACAGTGGAGTCACAGCTGCTCAGCTTATTAGCTCATTGAATTAGACCAATCATGAGCCAAATGGAGGAAAGACCGGACACAGTTCCATGCGATGCTTATAAATCAGCCTTACTCTCTAACAGAACATGGCTATTTCAGCTCTTCTTATTACCCAGATGATCCTGCCACTGTGAAGGTTTTCACAGAAATTTAGGGTAAGATTTACTGAGGAAAAGTGGGAAAATTGGCAATGGTCTCTAAGGCAGGAAGCTCATTTAGTTCCAATGGAGGAATGCAGCCCCTTTAAAAGGAGGCCAGCTTTCTTTAAGGTGTTTTATCTCAAGTCCTTTGACCGACAGAGCAAGCGGTCATCGGAAAGGGTTGTAGTGCTTATCCTGACTCTCTACATGCCTGGTGCCGGCTAAAGCCACCCTTTTGTCTCACCACTGACTGAGAACACACCATTAACAGAGCCACAGCTTGACAAGAAAAATGAAGAGAGCTATTTTCTGTGGCCTCGAGTGCCAGGCTGAATAATGAGCAGACATTCTTTCTCTCTTCCCCCTCCACGGATTCACTCCTCCTTGTGAAGACCCAGTCAGAGAAGAGTGTTTCTGTCTCTTCCCCCCTTTTTTTCCTTCTCGCTCTCTCTTCCTGTGCCCTGATCTGTGACTTCTTTTCCTAGGAAACCAGGGCAGAAACAGACTGTGTGTGCACATCACATTCAAGATCTTCGAGAGATGAATTAGATAAATGTCTAGTGTTGTCTGATTTATGGATTTGAGGATCAGATATTTTGCATCCAGAATGTCACAAACATTCATACTGGAATCAAAGTAGGTGTCTTACAAAATAAGAGTCTTGTTTAGTGCATTGTTTTGTTTTCCAATGGGAAACAAATGTCAAAATCAGAAATCTTCAATATCTCAAGTATTTCGTATAGACAGCAATGACATTAAATTGAGAACAGTTGGAGTTTTAAAGAAATCTCACACCAGTGTGTCTCAGATTGAGAAGGCATCTCAGCAACAACTTGCAATGCCTTTAAAGTCTGCCAAATTCTGCATTATTTTTTTAATCAAATTCTTTGAAGAGCAAATTACATGCATTATGCCATGCACATTAATTTATAGTTCTATATATGTGTGAGTATGTATGTGTATGTTTATATATAAAAATGTTTATGTATAAAATATATAAAATATAAAAACTAGTATTGGATATTTAATTGTGAATTTTGTTCATTTCCACCAATCTTTGCTATCGCATAACTCTCACTAAAAGTCATCTTTAAAAACAATAATTAAGTTATTGTTTAATAACTTAATTACTATTAATTTAATTTCACAAACCACAAAACTAATATCTTTTTTGTATTAAACATTTTATAATTTTTTTAATTAAAATAGTAGTTTTTTTTTATTATCAGACATTTCTTGGTTATCAGCTATAACATGACAAATGATTTCTGACTTAATGGTATCTGCCAGAATTTCAATATAAGTGAATCCTTATTCTGCCTTCATAATATCAACAATTGAATCATTCTCCTAAGGCATATGAGGAGAAACATCTGGGATGAAGTTGATACTTCAAATGAAATGAAAGATTTCCATTAAGTGAATGAGCGATATTGTTATCCTCTGGGTGTATTGATGGAGTCTAGCAAGTATATAAGCACTACAAAGGTTACAACACACAAGTTCAAGCACACAAGCACACACTAACAGAAAGAAAAGGGCATTAGTCAGATCCTATATTCTCAAAGTGGCTGTGTTCCCTGCAGACACCTCTTCCCCTACCCTTGAGTGCTAATAAAATGACGTGAGGATCCGTCTGCTGTGCAGGCAGCGTGAATTCACAGCCAGAGAGCAACCGATTAACCGCCATGGGTGTTTTTTCCTCACTGTGTTCGTATTGGATTGCGTGTACAGATGTGTGTTCAAATGCGAATTTGCTTTTGCGTCTGTGACTCGTGAATGCAGCTGTTCATCTCTTTCTCCTGTGTAAACATGTTGTTTGTGTTAATATTTGTCTCCGAATGAGTTGGGATACGAGCGTGCACACATGAGGGAAAGGCAACTGTGGCAGCAATAGTTCAGCTGGCTGTTAGCTTGGGCATGGGGTTTGTGATATATGGTTATGGCCATTCATTGAGAGCCAATTAGGCCTCCTCTGTGTTTGAGCACTATGGAATCCCATAATGCAGTACTCTCCAGAGCACCCACGGCTGCCTCCTCCAATGAATAAAGAACAGGAAATAGAATTCTCAACAGGAGGATTTGGTAGCTCATGTTTACTCACTCGTCACAGCACCAGTAAATGAGCAATGTTCTTCTCTTCTGTTTGTTTCACATAGATAACAAGCCATTTTCTATGGATCTCCGAATGAGTTGGGATACGAGCGTGCACACATGAGGGAAAGGCAACTGTGGCAGCAATAGTTCAGCTGGCTGTTAGCTTAGGCATGGGGTTTGTGATATATGGTTATGGCCATTCACTGAGAGCCAATTAGGCCTCCTCTGTGTTTGAGCACTATGGAATCCCATAATGCAGTACTCTCCAGAGCACCCACGGCTGCCTCCTCCAATGAATAAAGAACAGGAAATAGAATTCTCAACAGGAGGATTTGGTAGCTCATGTTTACTCACTCGTCACAGCACCAGTAAATGAGCAATGTTCTTCTCTTCTGTTTGTTTCACATAGATAACAAGCCATTTTCTATGGATCCACTGATCGTCATCTTCTCAAACCACAAGGCTCGTTCCTACAAGCACATCTGAGTCCTGCAAGTAGGTAATTTGTGTTTAATTTTAATTTTTGTCCTTGCTTTTTCATTTTGAATTGGAGTCCAAACTTGTTCAGGTAGCATTTGCTGTTAATCACACCACAACCTTCCTGCTTTAATCTGTCATTGTGATTTACAAAAGGAGGGGTGAGAAGAGACCAGAGGATCTGCTGTTATGCAGAATCAAGCACAGGCTTTTATCCTTTCAAACGCCGGCAACAATTGTAAGACAGTCTGACCTCTTTTCTGATGCTGATTAGCGTGGTATTTGAGCTGACATTAAACATGGTGCAGTAATTATGCTAAAAGGTAACAGAGAGGTAAATGCAGGGAAAAGAGGCTCTTCGTTCTGATACACTTTATAAACTCTGAGGTCAGGTTAAGTGGTGGACTCCAAGATAAGGTATTAGCATTAAAGTAAGAAATCTCTATCTATAGCAGCCATTAGGGTTTCCATATAAGCAGTTTTGTGAGATGTTGTCTCACAGCATTATTTCAAAACTTTGCATCAAGTTCAATGGTGCAGTAAACGGCTCAATACCCAGAGCAATTCATTAGCAGTAAATGTGCAGTTATAGCCTGCGTTTTAAAGGAAGTTGCTAAAATAATCTAGTTTATGCTGTGAACTAAAAGATGAAATATTAAGTTTAACGCAATGACTGTTAGTTTTGCTTTTTTCTTTTGAGGGGCCCTGTGGCAGTCCTGGTTCAGAAAAGGCATCAAAATCAAAGAATGAAAGAAATAAAAAGTGCTTTTACAGCTTAGCAGTTCCTTGGTGGTAGATAAAAAGTGGCACAAATAACAATATAATATTTATATATTGTTATATAATATTTATAACAATATATATTTAAAATATGTATTTTGTCACATATTTTGTGTGTGTGTGTGTGTGTGTGTGTGTATATATATATTATTTATATAAATTATTATTATTATTATTTTATTATCTGTTTAATAAACCATAATAGTAAATTTGTGATTTCTCGAACCATTATTAACACTTTTTTTACATACAAATTTTATGCATTTATTATTTTTACATATAAAATGCATGATACTAGCAATGCTAAGATCGATTAAAAGGGAACACAGTAGCCAAATGTATAAGCTGAATATAATACTGCCTAAATAAAAGTATATGCCAAATGCATAATGCATGTACACTAGACTCAAAAATCTAAAAAAAAACTTCAGTTTGAATAGACTTTACACCTCTAGACATTAACAGTCCATTTCCATGAGATGCATAATTTCACTATACTTTTAGCGAACAAAGACAGATTTCAAAACATGCATACATGCATACAGCAGGCTGCAAATGAGAACGAGCTGTGGTGGGCTAATGAATGATAGGCACTTGAAACTGTGAAGAACGATGGTACAGATGTACAGCTGGCAGAGGCAAACACCGATGTGAGTGAACATTAAAGATTCATTCAAACAGCTGTTCCTTATCCAGGACAGCACGATCCACCACCATGTGCTCTGATTCTGAAACAGAAGAGTGCAGGAAGCAGGGGTGAAAATTTGACTAAAGCTCAGGGTATTACACAAGCAGCAGAGTCAGCCGAGAGATCTGTCTGCGCACTGTCTTCAGTGATTGAAGGCTTTACCTCATACTGAAAAACATGAAATCCATGGATTGAGAGTTGAAAACTATGACAGCTGCATTTCAAGATTTTGTGCTTGAATCTGACACACAGTAAAGTTCAGACTAAAAGTTAGAGTTAACTGAGGATGAACAGACAGACCATATTTGTGTCTGTTTGTATCTCTGTACAGTTTTTCCTCACCTTGCTTTATAGTTTGATTATTTAGCCAGATATTTGCTTTGGAAAAAGTCCAGTAAAATGCAGCTCCTTAATTATCATTGTGTAATGCCAACAACTTCTTAGTGACTCTCGGGACTAATTCTCTGATGCCTTTTCTTCTAAATGCTCAAGAGTGTTATTAGTGTGTTTTTTTTAAAGTGCTGTTCTTCAGTAATTTACCAGTCAGTATCAATTGCCTTAGGTATGTGGTCTTGCCTTCATTTAGGTGAGTAAAGGGTGTTTTGCGTGGTAAACTGTAAGCACAAGTTCTCAGTTCATTGTCAGTGGGAGAAAGACGACAGAACAGAGGCGGCAATAAAAGCTCGCCAGCAAACATAGAGATGCAAGATATAAAAAGAGATGTTTTGAAGAATGCGTCAGTGTTTTGTTTTGTTTTATCCATTTAATGTTTTGGACCCCTTTGACTTTCAGTGAACAGACAAAAACAGTTGAACAATTCCTCAAAATATCGGTAACACTTTAGTATAGGGACCAGTTCTCACTATTAACTAATTGCTTATTAGCATGCATTATTAACATATTGGCTGTTTATTAAAGCACATATTCTGAATCTGCATGACCATATTCTACATCTCTATTCCTACCAAATACCTAAATTTAACAACTACCTTACTAACTACTAATAAGCAGCAAATTAGGAGTTTATTGAGGCAGAAGTCATAGTTAATAATTTGTTAATACCAAGAATTGGACCTTAAAATAAAGTGTGACCAAAATATCTTCTTTTTTTCCCCACAGTTACTTCCTTTCAGAGTAGTCTAAGCTTGCTCTCTGTAGCGCTCTATGAGGCATTCAATACAATGAATGAGCAAGCAATTTGGAACTAAATGTTTCATTAATTTGGTTAATTTTATTAGCTATCATTTACTGTACATAGAACAGATATTTATATTAATTATCTCATCCAGAGCAGCATGTTTCCATTTCCTAGCAGTTTGCTAATGCATGTAGATGTAGTGGTAACCCTTTAGTATAGGGACCAATTCTCACTATTAACTAGTTGCTTATTAGCATGCCTATTATTTACACATTATTAACACATATATTAGCACATATTCTGCATGACCATATTCTACTTCCCAAATTCTACACAATACCTAAACGTATCAACTACCTTACTATTAATAAGCAGCTAATTAGGAGCTTGTTGAGGCAAAAGTCATAGTTAATGGTTTGTTTATAGCAAGAATTGGACATTACAAAAAAATGTGACCAAAGTAGTGTATTGAAAAAGCTTGTACACAAAAAAGGTGGCAAGACTGCAAACAGAGATCACTTGTCACAAACTGTGTAAAATTAATAATCTTATCTTATTATCTTATCATCTTATCATCATGTCATTTAAAAGATTTGTTTGTTTGTTTGTTTTTCATTTAAACACAAAAGGAGACATTTAGCACAATGCTTGAACTACTGGTTTGAATGAAATGAAAGCTCCCAAATTAAATGTTATTCATAGAGTGTTATTATTCACAGAAAATCTTGCCTTCTGCCCTTTTGAGCAACACGAGGTTGAGTAGATGATGACATTTTCATTTTTGGGTGATCTATTCCTTTAATGGTCCTGCAGAGTAACATTTACCCTCACAAAATTACAAAATGACAAATTTAGCATTGAGCGTCATCTGGAACAATATGCTCCTTTTTGCCAGCATAAAACTGGCTCGCTGATGGCTTTTCTCAGACTTTACCGGATATAATAATTTCCAGGATGAAATATTTTGTCCTTTATCCCTAGACCTTGGTGAAAGGAAAAGGCTGTTATCTGTCAGCAACACAAAACACGTACCTCCCTTGCAGAATCTCAGCCACGCAAAATAATCAGCCAAACAGGAGAGCTACTCCCGCTGGAAATCACGGTAATAAGCCCACCGTCCCCTTTCGAAATAACAGCTGGTTATGTTTTTCTAATGGAGAAGCGCCATCACAAGCCGTCGCTTCTCGTTCATCAGCAGCTGTTAGCTGTGACTGGAGGTGCTGAGAGAAATCGGCATAATATTTGTGTGCTGTGTGCAGAACCAGATCTTCTACAAACGAGAGCTGTATAGAGTTAAGGCCGTGACCCTGCAGAAATGATGCTCCTGTCTCGTCACCCTCACACTTGGATTTTGAGACGAGGGCAAAGGGTCTGGGTCGGCTTAATAGTGACAACTCTCATGCTGATGATTCTGAGGTGACACATGTGATACGCACCATCTGCCAAGGGGTCAGTCTGCCCTGACAGGGCCTGTTTGAAACATGAACGTGTGTCTGCATGTGTCAGACCGAGCGCTTGCATCCCTCAGGCTAATTTGGGACTGATGGAAGACAGACATATTCTCTTCTGCCATTTCTTCTCTATGCAGCTCAGACGATAATATATGTTGTTGTGTTGTTATTTTTGTCTTCAGCAGAGATGATTTTCTACATGTCACTGAATGTGTTCAAGGGATAATTCACCAAAGAATGAAAATTCTGTCATCATTTACTCACCCTCATAAGTGCCAAACATGACTTTCTTTTATATGATATTTTGAAGAAACTCAGTGTTTTTGTCCATTCAGTGTTGTTTTGTACCCCATTGTATGGAAGCTTGTTTCTGCCATGATATAAAAAGGTAATTTTTATCTCACAATTTGGTCTTTCTTTCTCGCAGTTGTGAGAAAAAAGTTTGAATTGAGAGATATAAACGTAGAATTCTGTCTTTTTGTTTCTGCCACAGAATAAAAAAAAGATAATTGCGACTTTTTAATCTCACAATTCTGCTTTTATATCTCACAATTCAGAATACTGAGTAAAAAAGAGCAGAAAAAAAGTCAGAATTGTGAGATAAAGAGTCAGAGCTACCTTGATTATTTTTAATCCTGTGGAGGAAACAAGCTGCCATACCACTGACTAGAGGTGGGCGATATGACCAAAATCTTACATCACGATAAGAGTAATTTTATTTCACAGTAACGATATATATGACAATATAGTTATTTTTGCTTTAAATAAGGTTGTTATTATATCAAAAATATAGATGCAATAGAAATTTCATTATTCTTGTCATCAGGAATATTAGACTGCTGTCACTTTAAGAGCTGCCTGGATCCAATATACGCAGCAGCACAACATAACAACACAGGGACCTGCTGCTTCCTCTCCATCAGCACAGCAACAAGCGAAATGAGTTGTCTTTTGCTGCTGATTGC